CCTTGCACTTGAAAAATTATTTTATTTTTTTTAAATGCACAAACATGCAAGTTATTACTTTTAGATAATTCATCTAAGGAAATAAAACTGAGTTCATATACTTTTTTTCTTGCCCTAGTGACATTTCTTTTTTATTCTATGGAGCACTAATAATGAAATGCATCTGTTTTATGAAAAAGGGTTAATGTAGTAAAGTACAGATCACTGCTTTTCAATAACTGTAATAATATTTGATGGAAATGGCAATACTGTATGCATTCCGCAAAAAATGCAAACTGAAATTCCTATGCAACCTACTTGAGAGTATTGGAGGATTCATGCTTTACACGCAAACTGTAAGAAGGTGGAAATTGGGGCCCTTTGTCTATCTGTGAACATAGTAGGTGAATAGAGGAATAACAGAGGAGAACATTCTTTAAATCAGTGATGCTTAAGGTGTATGAACTATAGAAAAGAAAGCAGTAGTAGTAAGATCATGCTAGATGGATAAAAAAGAACCAGACGGTATTAATGAACCTTGAGTTCTCAAGGAGCATTAGGAAGTAAGTGTGTGGTACAGACAAATAGATAAGAATCAGGGTCCCAACCTTGACATACATATTAATCATTTATTTGTAACTTGTCTTTCAGCTTCCACGCCTATGCTGTCAAATAATATTTGAAGTTCCAATGCTGCGTAATGTATTTAAAGCCTGTATTAATTATGTGCATTTACAATAGTGAAAACAGAAAGCATACTACAGGCTGCATATATGAGTGTGCAAGGGCATTCTCCCTGTGACACAAATGGGTTTGATAGGTTGTAAAATTGTAGAGAGCATTCATGAGGAATATGTGTAGGAGACATGCTTTCATGTGTTATGTCATTTCAGGATCCAAAAGAAATGCAAATCTTGTGTAAGAATAGATGCGAGCCATAACCTTGTGGAGTTTGTTCTTTTTTTTTAAACAATCATAGAAATGGCGGAGATCACCTTTGATAATTAGCGTTATCCCTTAGCTATATACTGTTCTCCAACAAAACAAGCAAATCACTTTATAAAAACGTACTTCAAGAAATAGAACATTTGTTAGAAATGGATCTTCCATTATCGAATCACAAATAAATAAATATTTGTTTTTTAAGTAAAAAAGAACAATTGGCAATGCAGTAAAACATACAATAACCATAAGAGTAATTTCAGTGTATACCTATTTAGGGCTAAGTGTTAGGGCTATATGTTGTAGTTTAACATTCTGAAATGGCATTCTCCATTTACCTGACAGAGGTGTAATTTAATATACAATATTTATATTTAAAGAAGAAGAAATCTCTTATAAAGACCCATGATCTTTATTCTTGTTACTTATGCAAGACAAAGATGAAAAGGCTTGCTCATGTGAATATATTTTTATTCAGTTATAAAGTATACAGACAGAGCTGTTCTCTTTAAGATGCCAGTCAGGAGTAAGCCCCAAGCCTCTTTCTCCTTCATGACCTCTGATGATGAACTATCACTATCAACTCCTGCTGTTGCATGACCTCCACACTGTTAACAAGCTAGTGTATCCTATATCAGGTTTTGTATAAATCATATTACCAACCGCGTCATCGTCAGACACCAACAGGTTATTAACCCAGTAATTGAAAACTGTATATAAAGAAGCT